CCCCCCCCCCCCCAAAAAAAAAAACGAACAAAACATTCTAGACGGACAAATATTTTTGTGATAATTGCTTTTCGCGCGTGTGTTTCGCGCTTGAACGTTTGTTAAGGGTCAAACTGAGAAATGGGGATATGCACAAGACAACTCAGTAAAAAACGCACAATTTACGGGGAATGACTCATGCAAGAAAGAATAGAAAGTAAAGCAATGCGGTTTCAAACAAAAAGCTGCACTTCCGTCTGTGAGCAAAAGGGGAGATGTTTTAGACACAGAATGAGTTTTCATTTTCGCCTTGCAGGTCGACATGTGTCCTTTATAGCAAATATAACTGGTGGGTTTTACAGAAACAGCAAACAAGTTTACGCATTTGCATACAGCTGCGGCGGACAGTGGAAGCTATAAATACACTTATACACCTCCTGGTGCAAATTGAATTTTCTTTGTTGAAATTCCCAGCTTATCCTTTTACAAGTTGGTAATCCTATTGAAGCTTCCCGTTGACAATTCATGAAAATATCTCGCTTTAATATCTGGACTGTACAACGTACTAACGTGAGAGTGTTGTCCATGCAGTGCTAAATGAAACCCATCTTTGAGCGTGAACGAGGAAAGAAACATCAACTGACTTATTTACGGAGTAGAAGAAAGGACATGTTGAAAAACTCTTAATTACACAGGGAATATACTGTGCCTAACAAGTGCTCTCAAGCTTTGCATGCAAGTGACTAACTGTGCAAAGGCATCGTAGACAGAATCAAGGCAGTTTTTGATTTGTGAGAAAAGTTGTTTTGCCATTAATTTCCTCCTCAACGGACGTGAAGGTCTCTTTTTTGATCAAAAGAAATTTAAGCCAACTTGAATATTGGAAGAGATGGGAAACGAAGCACTTCCTTACATCGTCAACGCGGCGTGTAATATTCCATTTTCGATGCTGGCTATCGCTGGAAATTTGTTGATTCTAGCATCCTTTGTCAGGAGTCCCTCAATGATCACGCCCTCGAATGTCTTCTTAATTAGTCTGTCCTTATCTGATTTCTGCGTCGGACTATTCGTTCAACCATTGTACATTTCTTGGAGATTTCAAGACTACAAAACATTAAGCGGAAACCGTGGCACTCTCGTATCGTCGGTGATCGCCGTGTCAGCTGTTCTGTGTTCATTTTCTCTGTTGACCGTCACTTTTCTTAGCATAGACAGGTTCCTCGCCTTGCGTCTTCATTTGCGGTACAGCCAAGTTATCACGGTCCGGCGCGTATCTTGGTTTCTAGTTGTTCTCTTCGTGGCTTCGATCCTAATTTGTTCCGCGACAGTGTGGTTTCCTTCATATGATGAATTTGCCGCAGCCATCATTGCTCTTGCCAGTTTCATTGTAAATGCAGCAATGTACTGGAAGATTTACCGCGTAGTTCAACGGCACAAGCGACAAATATGGACACAACAACAACAACATAAACAGGCTTCGACACCCAATGCAGGACTTCTCAACATTTTGCGATTAAGAAAGTTATCTCTTACGATGTTCTACGTGTATTTT